TTACAGGAGCCACCTCTGTAGCCCCATCCCCACTACCAAAACCCCTACCATATCTCCGCCAGACACCAAACCATCACAGAGTCCCATGCTTGGAAGCTGCAGGCACAAAACACCAAAACTTGTTAGGGGGATTGTTTTACTTACCAGCATATAAGTGAAATGCATGTCATTTTCTGAAACAGATGGCAGATGGACTCTGTGTAGCACTGAGTTTAATCTGTCGCTTGCACCCAAGTTATCTGTGTTAACATTTGTGACAGTGGATGCGTACTGTGAATATGCAGCAAGCTGGTTTGTGCCTTAATGTGTGGACACACAGAACCACTTCAGCTGGTGTGTATTGATAGTATTTATGGGTATGCTTTTTGCTAGTCTGGACCTCCCCTAGCAAGCTGAGTTTTAATTATACAGTAACAGCTTTGGAAACAGTAGTATTGTAGACATTTTTATCAAAACCAAGCAATAAACCAGTGTACAGTGTAGATACATGATTGAAACAAAATGGGCCGTTGTTCAGGTGGTTAGAATGGCCTTTAGTCATACACCCTGGGTTCACATTACTCGGAAGCTTATATAAAAATGGGGGCCAAATGCAATTGTGGTGTTGTATACAAAGGTTAATCTTTAGCACTGCTCCATTATACTAAATGCTGAGAAACTAATTACCGAAGGTGGTTGTTCTGTCTATGTGCAGAAGATCTGTAGAAGGAGATGTGACAAAAAATGTCAGGTCAAAGAAAAATCTAAATGGGTGCTTGGAATTTCTCTAGGTTTCAAAGGCAAATCAAAGCCTAATCTTCTGAAACAGGAGACCAGTAGTCTTGCCTGTGGGTTGCGCATTCTGTTCCGAATGTACATGGATGAAAGCCGTACCAGTGCGTGGGAGGAAGTCCAGCAAAGACTACTAAAGTAAGGTCCATGTAGCTGAACCTGTTGGTGTTATTTCTGATGTCAGAGAATATTTATTTTTATTTAAAAGCATACACCTCCTCTCTTTGCAGTAAACCTCCTAGAGCTAACACAGTATGGTGGCAGTGGCAGCTAAATAGTGTGTAGAGTGCTGTGCCTCCAGCTACTAACACTGCTTCTGCTTTTTGTCCTCATGACATGCTTTTCAGAAGAGAACAAAGGTTTTGTCACCTTTTTTTTGTTTTTCAGAATGTGGGTAGGTGGGGGATTGTTACAGCTCCTCTTTAAAAAGAAAAGGAACTATCACCTAAACCCTGCTTTTTTCATTCAGTAACCTCGGATATTTTTGGGAACTGATGCAGAAATGAATACTGGACTTGAGGAGCTTGTGGGCATGCAGAAGCTTTTGGCTTTTTGGTTATTCGTTACTGTGAATACTAAGGTTCACCTGAATGTTTTTAGTTTACAAAGTTGTTCAAGCAAGGGTTGGAATAACAGAGGGCTTAAAACCATGGCAGTAACACAGCAAAGGTATTCTAAGGCTTATATACCAGGGAACAGAGCTGAAAACTACCTTGTTATGTCAGCATGAGATTAATTTTTGAAGTCTACCTATAATTTTGTCACATGCATTTTAATACCTCGCAAAGGGCACTTGACACACTTCAAACATACGCACAAGCAGCACAATCCTGTTTTGTCAGCGTATTTGATACTGAAGTCCTGTGACTTTGGGTTTGACTTAAACAAAATCACCGTGCGCTGTTACTGATCAGGCCTACAGTAGCTTTCATAAAACAACGCTGTCTACCCCAGGGCTCTGCACTGGTGTAGTTGCAAAGCCAAAGCTCCCTCTCTGCAGTAGAGCCCAAAATAAGATGTTAGTTACTAGTTTTTGTGTGTTTTCTCTCTAGTGTCTGCAGTGAGGCTCTGAGGTATTTCCTCACTCTCACATCAGAAAGTCATCGGGAAGCCTGGACTAATCTGTTACTTTTATTTTTGACTAAAGTTCTGAAGATAAGTGATGAAAGGGTAAGTTGCTGTTTGGAATGGTATTTAAGACAACATTCACAGGTAAGAAGTCATCCCAGACTCCTGCGCATTTCTGTACTTGACTTCAAAAGCGCCTGCTGCTCTGTGGGCACTCTGCGTTTGACGGATCCTGACAGTAGTGATGCGGAGTGAGGGTGCAGCGACTGGTGGAACAAAATGTGCCTGAGAAAATTGAAAAGATGCTAAAATCCTTTAGAAGTGTGTGTTAAGTAGCTCTTACTGCCCCTCTCCTACTGAGGAGCAGGATTAGTGGCTGATAGACTACTCGAAGAAATAACTCCTGTTTCTGCTTCCAGTGCTGTGTGTACCTCACCTTGATCTTCTCCAAAGCAATTTTGCAGTAAATAAATCCATATTTAGATCTCCCTCTGTTTCTAACAAAACTTGCCTGAAGTATTGAGTGAAAGGGGCCAATTACAACAAAAAACTTAACTGGTAATAGAAGAATTCTTCCTCCTGAAGCGTAAGCATTGGCAAGGAGCTGTGTGTAGGCTAGTGAGCGTCCGTCAGAGTACATTGCAGCTGTCTAAGCCTGATTCTAGCGCTGCCAGCTTCCGTTATCAGAGGCCATTCTGCTTGTCGCTTTGTGGGTTTCTCACCTTGACTTGGGAGAGAATATTTAAGATTTGTCACTTGCAACATGCTTTCTGAGGTGTATTGATGCATAATAATTTCTTCTGTTTTCTCCTCAGTTCAAGGCTCACGCCTCATTCTACTATCCTTTGTTGTGTGAAATTATGCAGTTTGACCTTATTCCTGAACTTCGAGCTGTCCTACGAAGGTTTTTCCTGCGGATTGGTGTGGTTTTCCAAATATCCCATCCACCAGAACAGGAGTCTGGAATAAGCAAGCAGTAGCAGATAGGGACTGAGTATCGCTCCACTTAAAGGTTTATATTCCTCGGCTAAATAAAAGGACCAGGTGGCTGAGCTGTTCTGTCCAGCTATCCATGAAAATGGTTTCTTTGTATGGCGATGTGTATCCAAGGGTTAACGGTACGGACACTTACAACTGTAATTAAGGCTTGCAACACTCTAGTCCCTTTATTTCCTGACGGATTGTCTCTACCGGTTTCCTTGACCTGGCTCGCGCTGAGCACAGAGCCAGTTTTTAGCACAGTCCTCTTGTCAGCACGGGCTGCAATACCCTTCACTGTCCTAGACAGCAGTATAGCAACAGGCGTGTATGGCAGGTGTCAGAGTAAAACGTACCCAAAGAACTATATATGTAAAGTTTTGAGCTTCTGCAAGAAGTACAACTCAGGAGAGCTGTATGCTGAAGGATAAAATGTTTATAGTGAAAAAAAAATGGAGATTATTGTTCATGGTAAAAGATATTTAGCAACTCTGTCTGATATTCTTCAAAGACTTTTGCACACTCAGGCTGCCTGAGACATTGGTAATCATCCTTTTGTGAAAAATGTACAGAGATGCAGGTCTGTAATATACACTCTTTAACACTCTACAGTTCTTCCTGGGTTGTTTTATTTCTGTGTTACTGTTTTGCTGAAAACCCATAACACTTCACTGTTTACCAAATGCACTAGAAGTTTGGGTTTCTTTGTTTGGGTTGTGATTTTTTTTTTTCTTTTTTTCTTTTTTTGTTTTGGTTTGTTTTGGTTTGTTTTAGCCCAGAAATTAGCTTTGCTGACTTTTGTCAAGAACAGAGGTAGAAATATCACAACTGACATAACTACCGGTACTATACTTGTTTTAGGGCTTTTAAATATAACGAGCCATTGAAATGATGATCCTTCAAGGACTGGAACTTGAATCACTGCAAACAAGTCTAGGTTGTGTCTGCTGTCAGATGTTTTTTGTTTGATGTAGATTTCACTCTTATGTACAGAATTTAATGTTGAATATACTCAAGTAACAAATCTGGCATGGTTTGGGGATGGTTAATTTTATTGGAAATGTATTCATAACTGTGAATTGTGCTCTGATGGTTGAAAGAGAAGATTGTCAAGCATTCTGTATTACAATGGATGTAGAAATTTTTTTCAGATGGACAAAATGTATATGGTACAGATATGTAAAGTTTTCTATGTAAAAAAAAATTCTGTACAACTTTCTGTACAATATTTGGTTCTCATCTGGCATATTCTAATCAGGTTATAGGTCAATAAAGTTTTTGAACTCTTTCATCAGTGCAATCAAACCCCGTCTAATCCCCCGCTACTTGTTTTACACAGTTTCCTTTGCTCTCATGCTCTCAATTTGCAGGAACAAACCCCAGGCCTCTGAGGGCAGAAAGAGGGGGGCCCTTTCGTTGACTAGGATGTGTCTTCTCCCTGTTAGGGAGAAAGTACAGGGTGAAAATGAAACAGAACCATAAAAAAGGAAGAATAAACTTGTTTGTTTGGAGGTGGACTAGTCAGCTGCACCCTTAGTGCTGCACAGATCGAAAGTCAAAAGTACTGCGTTTTGCTCTCTGGGGGTTAAAATATAAAAGGGTGAGAGCGGGTGGGAGGCAAAGGCTGGGAGCACAGCAGCCAGCTGGGCCTTGTCAGAGTCTCTGGTTTTGTAAGCAAAAGTGGAATTGAGTTGTTCTCTGGTGTGTCCTCACAAACCCATGCATAGCAAAGGAGAGAAGTGGGAGGAGTGGGACAGGGGCTGAGGGAGCCTGATCTCACCGAGGAATGACTCTCCCTGTGACTGTTCACTGCAGACTCCACCTGTAAGTGTAAGCAGCTCACTGAAATCGCTGTGGTAGAACCGGGGCGGGGGGCATTAAAGCATGTGATCTCTGACTAGGCATTCTGTCAGGATGGTCGTTGGGGTGGAGCAAATCCAAATGGTGTTTCTCCAAGTCAGAAGGGGGAGAAGTGAGGTTATTTTAGTTGATTGTAATTTCCTCTTGGGCTGTATTTTATTTTTTTGCTTTCTTGTGTAATGTTTAAATCTTAAACCACTGTCCTAGGCCAGAGCTCAGGTCTTGTCTGTTTTATGGGGATCAGTAATGCCTAGAGTGAGTACAACATGTCCCCTCCCTATTGATGTCGCACTCTACCCCATGCCTGTCGCATACAGTGTTCTAGGGACCGTCATTGAGGGGGTGTGACGCTGTTACCCAGGGCAGTGTTTCAAGAGCCGTTCATGGCTCTGTTATCCATGTATCTGCCCAGTTCCTTTTTAAATGTCTGGGTTCAAGATTCAGCATTTGGTGAGTGAGTGCAATAGATTATCTAAAAAAAGTTTGGTAGTTTGGGTTGGCTTTTTGCTTGTTTGTTTTAAACCCTATTGCTTCATTGCTGTTTTGTGCACCTCTATTTTTAATTACTTTTTTTTACAGTGTGAATGTCTCATGCTGTACCTTACTTATTGCTTTTGTGGAAAAGGCCCAAGAGTGGTTTATTCATGGTTCACAGGAAACAGAACTCCTGTATTGTCTTTTCTGTCCCTCACCATCATTCTCGTAATGCTTGAGCTGCACAAGCTGTGCTCTGGGTATCCCCTCGACCTTGCAGCTCTCTGCGTGCTTATGTCTCCAACAGTGGCCAGAAGCAGGGGCAGGAACAGCAGGGGTTCTGCCTTACTCATCTCAGCTTTTGAGCTCAGGATGGTGGATTGCAGCTACATTTATTTTGTGGATAAGACCATAGTGATAAAAAGTAAAAGACTTTCAGGAGGGAGGCAGAAACAGCACAACTTGGGATATGCGAAGAAAGCTGAAGAAAAGATTTGGAAAGGTGGGAAGGACCAAGAGTGCTGTGACGAGCAGCTGGGCTGCTGGGGGGATTGCTGTAAGGAGGAGCAGAGTTCACTGGGTTACACGGTGTTGGTCAGCAAGGCTGAAGGAAGTTCAGTGGTTTTGGGTCACTGCAGAGGTGAAGGGAGCAACTGCAAGGGGGGACTGGACTGTGTCCTGGACTTGAACTGGAGGAAGGGAATACCGACCTGAGGGCCAGTGACAGTTACAAGTGTTGCAGTTGAAGGAGGCTGGCTTTTCAGGGTAACGGTAACTATGCGCTTCCAGCAGGGTCAGGGAGTTCAGGGAATAAAGAAAAAAATAAACTATGCAGGCCACTAGATGAGGAAGAAGACAAGTTCTGTGGTTTGCCTGGAGTTTTAGTGAATGTAGCAGAGAGCTGAACTCGTGAAGCAACTGAAGAGAGTCATCAAGCACCAAAAACAAGGGGTAGGCTGGCAGGTACCAAATGGAAGAAAAGTATGAAATAATACATAAGGTGGGCTTCAGTGCGAGAGGCGCTGAGGTAGGGCGATTGTTTTGTTATAAAACATTTTTCCCTTAGCTGCTTAAAATTATTTTGGAATTACTGCCTCTGGGAAATTCAGAATCAAGCAGCCCTGAGGCCTATACTACATGCTGTAGCCTAGGTCTGGTATTACGCTCAGCTCCCTGCATCACTGACTAGCCAGTGCTGTCACAGTTGAACTGATGAACATGATGAGCCAGAAATTCATGGTAGGAATGAGCCAGATTGGGCACTTCCTTTCTGGGAAGAAACATTTTAAACCCATGAAGCAGCTACATGCACCACCATGCTGAGGCACATCTCACTCAGCGAGCATCTCTTGCCTGCTGTGGCCTTCAAGAGGGGAGACAGGTGCTTGAAGGCAGCATTTTAGTAAAACCAGATATTTTTACAAATTCTTTTAGTTTCATCATTTGTTTTTCCCTGCTGGTCAAGCTTTGGCCTCTGGGTAGGAATACCTGACCAAAAGGAAAGTCACAGCCTTACCCTTGCTGCATCTTGGTGTTTCAGTTCACTGAATACCTAAAGTCTTGCTTCCATCTACACATCCTTATTGCTAAAGCTCTGGGCCTTTATTCAGCACCTTCTCCATATGTTTTTCCTGCTTCTTTGAAGACAGCTTTAACCTTCTAGTTTGTTCACAAGTAAATGTAAGCTGAAGCAAATGATAAATTAAGAAAATTGAAGTCTGCTTTCACAGTTTTAGTAACAAAATAATTTATTAACTCTTAATTCAGAACCATAAATTAAATATATGCAACAATGTTCCTATTTCCAGCACATAACAGGTTAGCGAACATGAGATATATTACTAATAGTAGTTTTTCTATGAAACTGCTGAGCTTTCATGCAGGATTGCACCCACCACTCTATGCCTTTCTCCAAGTTACTCTTTTGGAAAAAGCTTAAAATGCACCTCTACTTCCAGACTGTTTTGGAGTTTGGCTAGAAACAAAGCTAAAAATTGACTTTAATATCAAATTCATACACACACACACACACTGGTTTTGTGGTAAGTCCAGCTCTGAGGCTGAAACTTAACTTGTATAAAAAGTGCAAAAAACGCCAAGCTCTTCCTCCACTTCCCACATCATGTCAGTCAAGACATCCCTGCTCCACCTCCCCATCACACCCCAGCTTGTTACCTCATTATTGCCATTTTAAATTACACGTACAGCTCCACGCTATGTACATGGAAGAGAACTACCCCTCCAAGTGACCGCGGGAAGTGCAGTAGCACTGACCAGTCCCTCCGGCCCTGCCAGTTCCCACCCCCGGGGCTGCACTCAGCCATGTGCCGTCGAGAGGCCGTGCCAACTGAGCGGGAAGGGGTTGTCAGGGGAAAGCTTTGCTGGGCTGGACTGTTCAGCCATGAATCTTTGGAACGTCTCTGAAGTTCCTGGTCGGAGCCAGGGCTCTGTCGCAACTGTATCAATGGAACGGGGCCGTCTGCCAGCATCAGCTGGACCATGCTTCAAAAGGTCATCCACTTCTCCTAAGGAAAAGGTGTCACCTGTGAGAGAAGGAGAGCAAGGTACTTACTTTAAAGAGCACAAAAGCCTA